GAACTATGAAAAATATATTGAGATTCTCTCAAAGCTTTACTCACGGTGTTTGATTTGTTGTTGCCGTATCTGAGGTAATCACCTATATTGACCTAGTCTTAAGTTAATACCATTTTTCAAATGTCTGATTGATTCAAAGGAACCAAAAAGGAGGATGTGACGATTTGGTAAATTATCCAGTTTAGTATTGGTCTCAAGAACTAAATGATGTGATAATTGTTAGGTCAATTCCTTTTAAGGTCCATTATTAGGTTTGATCCCAGCCATTGAGACATATTAATGACAATTGCTTATTAACGTAACCAAGTTAGCTATATCAGTGTGTTTTCAAGATTCAAGTTCGAACCTAACTTCTTCTCCGCTACCCTCTAGCTAATAAATAAAAAAAGATAATTGCTTGGATATATAAAAAGAAAATTAAACAAATCTAGAGGTAAGGGTACAAGCCTTAGTAAAGTGTGTATAATGTGAAGACTTGCATGAAATAAAGATGCTAAGCTGTTCCAGGCTACTACCATATAGAAAACTTTAAACATGTTACATCGTATTATGGTCCGATGTCACGTTAATATCTCGAGGATGTAACTAAGTCCTTCATCTATTCGGGAGTCCCGCTCCAAATCTATTTATTCAACTCTACATCAATTGAGAAATTATAAGGGTTTTTGGTCACTTGGAATTATGTGACTTTCAATTGTTAAATATCTCTAAAGTTCTACAATTGGAACAAAACCAATTTTATAACTTTAAGGATGTTCCGCGATTATTACTTAGGTGTGGTTAAAAGATATTATTTATTGACGTAGTTATCCTTAATCAATGTTGTATTTCTTAAATAGGATTTCTTGGGCGTTAAATATTTTATTTCTTCGTATTTTTGTACTTATAAACAATTATAACTATGTGTAGGCGTATTTTCTTATGATGGGACCAAGAAAAAGTATAACGTATTATGAAGTTTATTCCAATGCATAACTGGTCCCAAGTTGGAATAGAAAATTTTTATGACTTTAAGGAGGTTGTTCAATTATAGAGTTTTACTTTAAAGAGATTTTACTCTATATGGAATCGTATCTCATTAACAACTAGGAATCCTTCACTCGCACAACTAGTGGTGGGCACTTGGTATCGAAACTGAGACACGAACCAAATCAAATCGGATCGAACGGTTTGGTTTTTGTGGTTTTGAAATGATTTCAGTTTGAAATCAAACCGAAATTTGAAATAAGGTTTGGTTTGGGTTTATAATATATGGAATCAAACCACATATATACATATATATATATATATATAATTAATTTAATTAGCAAATTAGGTGTTGTGATGTAATTGGTTATTTGGTGGAGTACATAGATGGATTTGGATTTAGATACTTGAATTTTAGCATAGGTTATTGGTTTGTGGGATTTGTTTTTCCTTTTGATTTTGAAGAAAATTCACAAGGCATTTCCTTGAATTTTAGCAATGTGGTTATCAATTTTGGTTTTACTTACTGCAAGGTGTTCTTCTCTCCAATTTGGAGGTCAAAACAAACTTGAAAAACTACCCCAAACCAAAACAAGCCTATAAAACAAGCCAAATTTTTTAACAGGACAATAAGTTTGGCCAAAACCATTTGAAACCGAGCCAAAACCAAATGGTTCGGTTTCACTCACTAGTAGAAAAACATGTTTGCGCGACCGAAAACACAAAACGTCGCGCAAATATCCTTTGCGCGACGGCACTTTGCAAGACGAAGGTTGGCGTCGCTCAAAACCGCTTTGCGCGACGAATATTGACGTTGCGCAAAACATCTTTACGCGACGCAGGTGCACGCACATCGCACAAAATATCTTTGCGCGACGCATATGCACCTACGTCGCGCAAAGTTTTTTTTTTTTGGTTCTTGCATTGCCTTTTTCTTTTGTTGTGTAAATGTTTTAAATTGATAATCAAATTAGTTCATTGTATTCATAAGGGGTTAAAGAGTGTAGCTGTAAAAAATCATCAAAATCGTAGTTAAAATAACCGTTAAATCGTGATTTTTGGTTTATAACCGTCGAAAAGTTTTGTCCTGTTACTTGATCTCTAAATGTTTTTTATTTTTATGATTTTTGGCATATGCGATCTCGAAGCATATACAAACAAGTTTGACGGTTTGATCGTTCAAACTAGTTTCATACAATGCGTTTCCCATCAAAATCAATGGTATATGTATTTACTAAGTACATTTTCATTTATTTATTTTGTACTTATAAGCAAAAAGGCCCAAAAAAAAAAAGACTTTGCACGACGTAGGTACAACTACGTCGCACAAATATTTTTTGCGTAACGCATCGGTACCTACATCGCGCAAAGGCTTTTTTTTTTTTTTTTTTTTTTTTTTTGTGGTATACACTTGTGTAAATGTTTTAAATTGATGATCGAATTGGTTCATTGTATTCATATATGGTTAAAGAGTGTAGCGATAAAAAATCATCAAAATCGGAGTTAAAATAACCATTAAATCGTGATTTTTTGTTTATCATCGTCGAAAAGTTTTGTTCGGTTACTTGATCTCTGAATGTTTCTTTATTGCTATTTTTGGTGTATGCGATCTCGAAGCATATACAAACAAGTTTGACGGTTGGATCGTTCAAACTAGTTTCATACAATGCGTTTCCCATCAAAATCAATGGTATATATATTTACTAAGTACATTTTCATTTATTTATTTTGTACTTATAAGCAAAAGGGCCCCAAAAAAAAAAAAAGCCTTTGGGCAACGTAGGTACCACTGCGTCGCGCTACGTCGTGCAAAGGCTTTTTTTTTGTTTTTTTTTTTGGGTTCTTGCATTGCCTTTTTTTTTATGGTATACACTTGTGTAAATGTTTTAAATTGATGATCGAATTTGTTCATTGTATTCTTATAGGGTTAAAGACTGTAACTGTAAAAAATCATCAAAATCGGAGTTAAAATAACCGTTAAATCGTGATTTTTTGTTTATCACCGTCAAAAAGTTTTGTCTCGTTACCTGATCTCTGAATGTTTATTTTTTTCAATTTTTTCCGTATGTGATCTCGAAGTATTTACAAACAAGTTTGACGGTTGGATCGTTGAAACTAGTTTCGTACAATGCATTTCCCATCAAAACGATAGATTCACTAACACTTGGAATTTATTAATACTTTCATCAACTATAACATAAGATTTTGTGGTATCCACTTGTATAAATATTTTAAATTGAGGATCGAATTAGTTCGTTCTATTCATATAGGGTCAAGGAGTGTAGCTATAAAAAATCATCAAAATCGGAGTTAATATAACCGTTAAATCGTGATTTTTCTTTTATAGCCGTAAAAAAGGTTTGTCCCTTTAATTGATCTCTGAATGTTTGTTTTTTGAGATTTTTGGCGTATGCGATCTTGAAGTATATACAAACAAGTTTGACGATTGGATCGTTGAACTAATTTCATACAATGTGTATCCCATCAAAACATTAGATTGACTAACACTTGGAGTTTATTTATACTTTCATTAAGTATAACATAGGATTTTGTGGTATCCACTTGTGTAAATGTTTTAAATTGATGATCGAATTGATTCATTGTATTCATATAGGATTAAAGAGCGTAACTGTAAAAAATCATCAAAATCGAAGTTAAAATAACTGTTAAATCGTGATTTTTGTTTATAACCGTCAAAAAGTTTTGTCCCGTTACTTGATATCTGAATGTTTGTTTTTTGCAATTTTTGGCGTATACGATCTCGAAGCATTTACAAACAAGTTTAACGGTTGGATTGTTGAAATTAGTTTAGTACAATGCGTTCAAAACGATAGATTCACTAACACTTGGAATTTATTAATACTTTCATCAACTATAACATAAGATTTTGTGGTATCCACTTGTGTAAATATTTGAAATTGAGGATCGAATCAGTTTGTTGTATTCATATAGGGTCAAGGAGTGTAGCTGTAAGAAATCATCAAAATCGAAGTTAATATAACTGTTAAATCGCTATTTTTTGTTTATAATCGTCGAAAAGTTTTGTCTCGTTACTTGATCTCTGAATGTTTGTTTTTTGCGATTTTTGGCGTATGCGATATCGAAGAATTTACAAACAAGTTTGACGGTTGGATCGTTGAAAATAGTTTCGTACAATGTGTATGCCATCAAAACATTAGATTGATTAACACTTGGAGTTTATTCATATTTTCATTAAGTATAACATAAGATTTTGTGGTATCCACTTGTGTAAATGTTTTAAATTGATGATCGAATTAGTTTATTGTATTCATATAGGATCAAGGAGTGTAGCTATAAAAAATTATCAATATCAGAGTTAAAATAACCGTTAAATCGTGATTTTTCGTTTATAGTCGTCGAAAATGTTTGCCTCGTTACTTCATATCTGAATGTTTTTTTTTTGCGATTTTTGGCGTATGCGATCTCGAAGCATATACAAATAAGTTTGACGGTTGGATTGTTGAAATTAGTTTTGTAGAATGCGTACCCCATCAAAACAATAGATTTACTAACACTTAGGAGTTTATTTATACTTTCATTAAGCATAACATAAGATTTTGTGGTATCCACTAGTGTAAATATTTTAAATTGACGATCGAGTTCATTCATTGTATTCACATAGGGTTAAGGAGTGTAACTGTAAAAAATCATCAAATTCGGAGTTAAAATAATCGTTAAATCGTGATTTTTCGTTTATAACCGTCGAAATGTTTTGTCCCGTTACTTGAGCTCTGAATGTTTTTTTTTTTGCGATTTTTAGTGTATGCAATCTTGAAGCATATACAAATAAATTTGAAAATTGGATCGTTGAAATTGGTTTTGTAGAATTTTATAATAATTTAAAAAAAAATTTATATATATAACTTGCGCGACGCCTAAATGGCATCGTTGTGCAAAATCACTTTGCGTGACGACGTAAGGTATACATGCGTCGCGCAATGTGTTAAAAATTTGGCGGTAGTTTTGTAAAAATTAGGCCTTTTTTTTTTTCTTCCCAAATTTGGTCTCACTCGGTCTCTCACATCTCGTGTAGTAGCCTGAGCCTCCTCTCTCTCTCGGTCTTCAATCACTCTCTCTAACTCTCTGTCTCTCATTCCCAACACCATCTCTCGATTTCTCTCTATTTCTGCCTTCATCCAAAAAAATTTCACACACCTCCATCTTAGCCAAGCTCTCGCCGCCGTCAATTTCGATGTCCTCTTCAGGTTCGCACATTCAATCTCATTATTTGTATATTTAATTTAATGATTGTGTAATTAATTGTGTTGTAGAGAGAAGAAATCAGATCCATGGTTGAAAAGGATGGATCTGCAAAGGGAATTGTTTTCAGCCAGTTCACATCGTTCTTGCATATTTCAAGGTCCGACCCGAACCCCAAATTCTGTTTCTGCATGTTTTTAGATTTCTAGGGTTTTATATTTGTGTATGCGAAATGGGATTTTATTTTTTCTGGAGGCATATTTGCGTCGTTAGCGGCGCTGATGTTCAATTGCATAAAAAACGTGGACAAGAATGCGAGTGGAGGTGAGCAATTGAATGCACAACTCAGATATTGATTACTCATATAACTGCATAAGAAATTAAAAACCTACCCAGTTGGTAAGCCATTTGATTCTCATGTTTGATTTTTTGGTTTATCTCTCTATCTTTCAAAGTTTTCTCGATATATATGTTCTTGAATCCAAAGAGTCAATTCCTTGCTCTCTCCTCCTTTAATTTGGCAGATGGGTTTCTCGATTTAATTCTCCACCCAAGACAGAGAGTCCGTGTGTAAAGAGAGAAGGCAAAGAGGGTCTGGCATTTGGGCGGCGACGATTGAGTTGCTGCTGCTACTGCTACTGCTACTGCTGCTGCTCAAAAAATGGATTGCAACAACGACAAGTACATATAAATACCCCTTCTCCTTCTTTCTATCATTTTAGCTTCTGGGTACTTTCGGATGTGGGTTTTTTGCTTTCTGATTTACCTGGTGGTTCATTGTTTTGTACTTTTAGCATAATTTTTTGTACTGTATGGCTTAAAGCAAAATGCCCAAATGCGGATTATTATATTCTGCTAATTTAGCTTAATATTTTATGTAGTTGAGTTGCTGCTTGAGTATCATTAAAGTAAGAAAATAGCGGTGCTATAACGGAAGAAGAGGGAAGAGAAACAGTTGAGTCATCCTCTTTCTGTTTTAGGTAACATAGTTTCGTCACTTTTCATTTTTCCTTATCTCCATGATCTCTTACCTTTGAGATTAATCAGTTTTGGATCATCTTACTTCCATTTCAAAATGGCAGTTACTAAACACAATAGGTTTCACTTTATGGTTAAGAAGTTCAATCTGATTAAGTTAAAAAACCTTGTGGGTTTAAGAACTCTGCTGCATTCATGCTTATAAGAATAGCACATGGTTTTTCTTTTTTTATATGAAGTTTATGAAAAGAGGATTGTGGCTGAAGCTGGATGCTTTACAGTATCGTAAGAAGTGTCTGATGATAGTCATGTCAAATAGTCAAATATGTATTCATGAATTCCATTGGTGATGTATGAACTAGGCATACCACCAAATGTTACTGTTCTGTTCAATATGTATGTAGCGGTTCCAATTTATTGCGTTTGTAACCCATTTCTCATTTCAGTTGAATATATAATCTTGATTTATGCTTGTATGCATTTGATCAATTATTCTATATCATTTAGAATTAACACAGTTTGTAAAATGGTGCACAGGGACTGGGAGAAACTTTTGGGAGAGTGACAATTGAAGCCATGGCATTCGGTCTTCCGGTATGACATTTTATTCCTCATCCCACTTGGATGATAGTTTTTTTTATACTGCAGCTAACATTTAGTCTCCCTAATCGAACCTCAAATATGCAAAGGCATGCTACTATATGACTGCTTTATGGCATAATCTTTCTTTTTTGGCTAGGGATAGTATAGCCGTTCTTTTTTGCATCGTGAAAACAAAATGGTGTTTTTTAGCGTTGTATGCCTTGTTCCGGTTTCTCCTCGAAAACAACAGAAATAGTTATAAAAGATAAAGCCTCTTTTGAAGCAAAATGGCATTACTAATACTGATCTCGATCGTTTGATTAAATATAATTCTTATGTATTTGCTTTGATCAGGTGCTTGGAACTGAAGCCGGAGGCACAAAAGAGATTGTTGAACACAATGTAACAGGTCTGCTTCATCCTGTGGGGCATGACGGAACTCGTGGCCTCGCCGAGAATCTCCGGTTTTTGCTTAAAATGTGTGCAATCAAAGCATTCCATCTAACCATAGATGTTGAAGAGCTATAGCTGTTTACTTTCCCCAGGCACTAAATTCTAAATGTTGTTCTCTCTTTTAGTTCTATTATTATTTTTATATTCATGTTATTTCTTTTTTGTTTGCACAGCAGAGGTTGATGCATTGAAGAACCATAGATGTTGAAGAACCATAGATGTCGAACACAGCAGAGGTCGATGCATTGAAGGCGGAAGTGACGCACCTGAGGGTCGAAGGCGAGCAGATGAAGGCGCAGCTGAGGGCCCAGGAAGAGGAGATGAAGATATGTGTCGGGAGGGTGCAAGAACTTGTACAAGCTATACAGATGTCCGGCCTCCAAATCTCGCTACCAGCATCTCATCTTGCTTCACCTTCGACCTCAGAGCCATCTCGCCCTGCCAATACCCAATAGCCTGATGTATTAAACCTAGTTCACTTGTAGTTTTTTCTTTTTTGTTTGGACATCTTGTATGTACATTTTCATATATTTTATAATTAAATACTTTTGCTTGGTTAATTAATTATTCTTTAGAATTTAATTATAATATTTATCAAAAAATATAAAAAAATTCACTAAAACAAAAAAAAATATTTTTCACTAAATTAAAAAAAAGAGTTTGCGCGACGCACGCCCTAGGATGTGCGTCGCGCAAAGTATCTTTGCACGATGTACGACGCGCGTCGCGCAAAGTGATTTTACACAACGTAGGTCATGCGTCGTGTAAAGTGTCTTTGCGCGACGCATGTTATTTCTTCGTCGCGCAAACCTTAGTGTCACGGGCTTAGCGCGACGGTTAGCGTGCGACGAATGTTGCGTCACGCAAACCCTTGCGCAACGATTTTTGACTTTGCACGACGAATGTAGGTACGTAGCGCAAAGTGTTTTTTTTTACTAGTGACTATTGTTCCCACTGTTAAACCAAATTGTACCGAACCACAATAAATTTCGATTTCGGTTTTAGTTTTATTCCATAACCAACCGCACCAAACCGTTCTCACCACTAATCACAACTCAAATATATGTTTTAATTTGACCAAAATCAATTCATGTTCCATGGCACGACTACATCTTTTTAGAATAGGAATGTTTTATTGTATATCGATTGTATTAGAATTCCTTCCCTTTATGGGATTCCTAAATTAATTGTGATTAGGGTTGTACAAGTATATATATTTATAAACATTGAAGTATTCATAAATTCTAAGTTGGTATCAGAGTAGGCTATTCTCTCTACATTTCCTAGGCCGTAGTTATTGGGCTCGAATAAGCTTCCTTAAGTTTGGCTTTCAAAAATTTGCACTAGCTCCAACTTAAGGGTATTGATTGAATGATTAGGCTCAAATATTAGTGTTGGCTCCAATGACTGAATATTGACTAGGCCTTTGAAAAGATTGGCGTTGGCTCTAGTGACTGAATACCGACCGATTAGGCTTTCTATTTGATTGGTGTTAGCTTCGGTATAATGACTTGACCAGTTCCTGACGTGATAATTGGTTTTCCCTTGTGACCCTGTGTGGGGCCACTCATGAAGGAGCGCGTTGGATAATAGGATCTCATATCGGGTATATTACAAAAACATACACAATTAACATGTAGGAGATTCCACTCCTAATACCACCGAGGTCTTTTATAATAAAACCCACACCTAGAGAAAGGTCAAGTGAGGATAAGATTGATGATGTTGGTAGTGAACCGTGCCTGGACCTGAAAAGTTTATCACATCTTCAGTTTGATATTTCTTATTAATAATATAACGTCATGGTGTAACTGTGGTAGTCTTTCTCCAATTTTGTAGCCAATAGTCCAAGTTTTTCTGTGATATGCTCATAATAATGTGGGAATGAGCCAAAGGCATTCATTTCTGAATGATGGGAGAAATCCCTTTCACTACAACTTACAAAAGTTGTAACTTACAGAGGCAAACCAACTTCCGAACAACTAAGGCTTTTGATCTTGCGGCGCATAACGGTTTACAGGTAGACGTGCATTTATGAAAGTTTGTAAAAATTTGACAATGACCAAACCGTTAAGAGATTTCTCCAAACCAGTAAGCAACCAAAAAAAGATGAGCGGGAGAGGAGAAGCATCTCAGATTCATTCATACGAGGCTCGTTGTAAAAGCTATCTTTTTGCACTGATTGATAGGTTCTCAAGGATAGGAATGTAATGGTCAATCACTATCCGCGCCCATGCTACTGTTTTTGTAGTTTAAATCAGCTCAATTTGTTATCCATGCATCCACAAAAGATGATGGTTTCCTCCATGCATGGTAACAATGGTAGTGTGTCACGTGGTTGGGCGTGTGGGACAAGCTAATAAGACGTTCTCATGCTGATACAAGTGGGAACATATTAATAAAAAAGCACAGAGAATTTGTAGGTATTTGTGGAGAAAACAACTTACATAACACAAGTATACTGTCACTATGACATCTTGTGTCAATAATACAACGTCATGTGAAAAGAAATTTATCTAAATCATGATATTATTTCCAAAAAAACATTACATTAACAATGGATTCGAGCTATAAAAGTCCAACGTTTGTGAGAGGATGTGGTGTCAAAGAAGCACCCATTTGCCCTACTGAAGTTTTATAATTTCTTTTTGTTAGGGGGTCTCTGTTAGTCAAAAACCCAAAGATAAGGAGGGCTAAGGCGGCTCCCATACGCATCCTTCATTATCAAGTTAGGTCTTTTTATAGGGCCTCTTATTTTGGTCACATCTCCAACGGATGATTATTCTTTCTTAAATTTTCGTTTATGGTTGCATTCCTTATTGTCTACTCCAATGGCCAAAGCGAACCAGCTAATCATACATAATGCATGGAAATCAATCATACGATTTTCCAGCCAATAATAGATAAGGAAAACAAAGAGTGTTAGAGTTAGCAAGATTAAATACAAAGAGTGTTAGAGTTAGCAAGATTAAATAAGGAAGAAGATAAGCCTAGCTACCCATGGAGTCCACCCAAGCTGCTAGAAATAACCAGATTCTTTAAGGAGTGAATGAAAAACTTTAACAAACGCCTTCTAAACTTAGTACCGTTTTGAACTTTTAATTTGTTTTTGAGCTCTTAATTTTTAAAAACATGTCAATGTATTTGACTTTTAACCAAATTTATCATTCGTGTATATATTTTCGTATATTGGAATATAAAAACTAACAAAAATTGTGATGAAGTTGATGGTAAAAACAAATTATCTAGGAATCCTGAATACGGTTTGATTGTTTGAGTGGACAAATAGTTAATAGAGCATAGCTAGTGAGAGGGTTTTTTTTTTTTTGGTGTGATATCTACACACCTCATTTTACTTCTCACGTACCTTTTTAATTTTCGGCCGTCGAATCGGATGAATTGAAAAAGATCAACGGACAGAAATTATCAAGGAATGTGTGAGAAGTAAAATGGGGTGTGTGGATAGCACATCTTTTTTTTTTCTTCCCAAGAGATGAACCATAAAAAATGGTTAGTGTAGAAAAGGTTTGTTCGTTGAACCACTTCGCAAGTCACTGGCCAGCCAATTGGCTCTCAAGTCTAAACCGCGTCATTTCACGTGGTGTATAAGATGATGAGATCCCCTAAACCCAAAAAAATCAAATACATGGTACTGATGAAATGTAAAACCATTAAAGCATGGTGACATCAAATTCATAACTGGTTTCTGTTGAAACATTAGGGGTCCCACAGAATATAAACATTGAGTTTATCTGAGAAAATTGTAATGTTCGTTCTTCTTTTTCAAAGTATATTTTGTTACTTTCTTCACTGGACCTTTTTTTTTCCTTGGTTAGGTAAAGAGTTGTGTTAATTGGGATTATATATTCTCATGTACTAGAAAGTTGTATATACTTGCATAAATAAAAATTTTTATTTGAATCATTGACTTTTCTTAATTTCTTACTATAGCATTTGTCTACACACTTTGCGTGTATAAACACATTTTTTTTAGAAATGAGAGAGAGAGAGAGAGAGAGAGAGAGAGAGAGAGAGAGAGAGAGAGAGAGAGAGAGAGAGAAAACGTGGGGGGAGTGAGAGGTTTTGTTTTTATTTATTTTTTTATTTTTATAAATATTGGAGATATTTTAACATCATTTGTAGGTAAGGCTTCAATAAAAAACAGTAAAATTTAGAGATATTTTAACATCATTTGTAGGTAACATCATTTAGTTTACAAATTTAATCTCCCTAGCATTACTTTGTACTTTATTCTCATTTATTTCTAATTTAATCTGCATTTACTACCATGTGAGAAATACAAAAATATATAATTCTCATATTTCAATCTTTAATCCAATTTGTGGAGAAGAGTTTCAGCGTATTGTGAACACCCGTATAATATAAGTGGTTGGGAATTATTTTTTTTTCAATTTCCTTCTTGTCCATTTTATGTATCGGCCCTGAATAATATAATTATATAGTTCTCCACGCCACAGTATATTTTCAGCTTATCTGTCACGTATCAAATCCTAATTAGTAATTAAGCACTACTATTATCTATCTATATAAATATCGGATATGGTTAACAAACGAACAAAAAATTGCTACCGCTTGTCCACACAGAACTGTAAATGCGTTTTGAATTCTACATGCATTAACATTTAGACATTTTAAACGCATCTGTGTATTCAGCGTAGCATAAACAGGCAAATATTTAAAGAAAGAAGTAGTTTGGACCAGTTAATAATCTACAGTACATATTTTGTATCCATGTTCATGTAGATCGGTCGATCGAGTATTTTAAGTTAGCGCATGGTACTAAACTACCACTCTATATATAATTTGCATGTGTGTGTATATATATATATAGAAAGAGAAGGCAAAAGAGTGAAGTTTATATAATTCAAAATTGTCGTTTTCCTGTTATGATTTCAAAAGAAAAAAAACAAAACCACCCACATAGTGTGATTGTGGGTGGTTAGTAATTAAGTTTATTATTTTCTAAAATATATTTTCATAAAAATAATAATAACTAAAGTAAAAAAAAACTAAAAAAAAACAATAAATAAGATATATCAGATAATAATAAAAAAAAATAAAAAAAGAGCACACGTCCGAGAGTGTAGCAAGAAGCTAGTACGTATAATATGATGTTGATGTTGGGTTCAGTTCGAAGCATATTAAGCCATTGACTGTACAAACTCACAAGAACAAAATAAAGGAAAGAAGAAGACAAATGGTTTTGTTTCATCGATCGCTGGTAGAGACTTGAAATCGTAGTAGCTAGTCACGAGATGGACTTCCTTTAGGTCTCGTGTAGTAGTCTGCACAAGCAAAAGTCACGAGAGCAAATAAAAAAACTTCTGCTCCCTCCAATTCCTTTTTGTGAATAATTATAACTTGGAAGGACGAAACACTGCATTGTTAGGGCAGAAAAGCTTCCAAGAAGCAAATTCTTTGTCCTTTATAACCATTTCTCCTAATTATTTTACCCAAAAAAACTAGGAAAAATCACACTGGTATGTATACATATATATTTTTCATATTTGTTTCTGTTGTAAAATTATATAGAGTCAAG